GAAGCTGTAGACTGACCCTATCAACAAAAGGGGCATTTAAGACAGTGCTGATCACTCCTACCATGGAATATTAGCTTATGCTGGTGGGAACATTAGCTTCCTAGAGTCAACAAATACTGTATGTGGGATAAAACTGAACCTTGAACTGCCTCATAAAATGACTTTATATTTTAGGACATGGGAAGAACAGAAGACAGAGCATGCTCTTTTAAGTCTGATAACATGGTTTCAAGCCCAGCCCCCAGCCTTTCTTACCAATCAAGGACTCAGATCTGAAGGCAAATATTTCTTTTGGTGGACTTGGAATCTCCGTTTGTCTACACTGTCCTCTTCACAGTGGAGTCTTTTTATTTCAGACCTACAGATTGTTTTTTTATATTTGTTGTCACAGTGTGACAATTTTTTTGTACAGTTGATTTTAAGGTCTTCTCTGCCATTAGAGCCAGTAGGTTACAGCTATTGATGTAACTGTAGCTGCAATTTTTGTGCAGAACTGAGAAACACAGTGCATTATTTATTGCGGAATCATTGCTGCTAAATAACTACTGTCTGTTTATTTAACACAACAGTTGAATGCCTGAAGAAGTTGCAGTGGCTTTATTATATGTGAATGCATCTGTTTCTCCTCATGAATTGTTTTACTGCTGCATTTTTTGTTTGTATGTTTTTAAAATTAAACTGCAGTGTTTCCTGGAATGTAAATTTAGCTTTGCTTAACAGTGAGCCACCTTGAACACTCTAAGTTCGTGCTCTATAATCTATATAATTTTTTATTGAACATTGGCGAATAGAGTAGCTAAAAAATTGATAAGCACATTATGTTTAGGAAAGCATGTGATTCAGAAGTTGATTCAAGCAAGTGAATTACCTGACATTTTGGGGATCTCACATTAGAGACTAGTAAATTAAAGCACCAAAATTATTTATTTTTACCTTTCCTCATTTTAGAGATATTTACTGCATATTATTGGATATTCATATACTAATACACTTAGTTATTTTACATTGTGCTTTAATTTAGTTAAAACTGTACAAGTCCAATCAAACATGGGAGGTCTTGTTTTTGTTTTTGTTTTTTAAATACAATTATTTTCTTAGAAAAGATGCTGTGTCATTGAGGAGCAATTCATTTCATTTGGGGGCTGTGTGTCAATAACATTCACTTGGAATCAGCTGAAAGCTGTCTTTGAAATGAGCCATGAGAAATACAAATGAAAGAAGTGAGAACTTAGAGGATTGTTTTAAAGCATTGTGTTTACCAGATATAGTAAAAATTACAGTTTTAATTATGCATCTCTTTGAACATCATAAACATACCTTGGTGTTGGTAACAGTGTTTTAAGCATTTGTGTTAACTTTTAAGGCTATTTGTTTAGTGCATCTTACAAACTACAAATCTTAATTGGTATATTTTGAGATGGTCATGTAAATTCTTGACTTATATATCATGAAAATAGTCATAACTTAATTTTTTTCCTGTCATTCACTGTAAAACATTCAGGGGTCCTACCATTTCTGTTCAGGAAATCTTGTAGCTTATTGTTATTTAACAGTATTAAGTGAATTTTTGTATATTTCATTTTAACTTTATTTGTGAATAGTGATCGTGGCATGTTTGGGGTGTTATTTTAATATTTCATGATACTGAAATTTTAATTTTTTAAAAATTTCTGGAAGAAACAGATTCATGTGTAATGGTGAATATTGGACCACTACTGCTTTTCACACTTGTAAATTAGTTTTATGTTAAACTCTGTAGCCTAACAAACTGCTGTTATTTCTAACTGACAGACATGTATTACTTTGAAGATTATAAATATTAAGTGGAAATTCCTCCATTTTGTTTTGAAATTTATAATAACAAAATCTTCATGTTGTTAAAATGTGGTTTTGTTGAGTCAGTTCTTTCTGGGGGATGAAGGCTGTGCAGCTTTGGGATCATTTTCTTTTATGGGTCTCATTCCTAAGATAAGTCTCACTGTGCCAGTAATACTTAATTTATATTTGTGTTGGTCATTCATTTAGTCATCTCTACTGTACTTTTATAGGATAGCACTCTCAATTATAACATGTTGTAGTTTTTGTCTCATGGGTTATATATTTGATTTGCAAATTTCACAGTTATTCATGTTTGATTCTCATATATAAAAGATAAATATATCCAGTAGTTATATAAAATTCTTCGTAGGAAGTCCAGGAATGTTTCTTCATTTTATTAAGGAATCTGGTTTTTGTTTTTGTTTTTGTTTTTGTTTTTTGATACTTGAGCACCATTCAGATCCTGGAAACTTTGCAATGAAGAGAATTGAAACTCAGAAATTTTGAACCTTGAACACTTATGATTCATCTTAAACTGACAAGGTTCATAAAGGTAAGACAGGATGACTTTTGTTTTCATTCCAAGTGATGTTGTTAACATACTGAATATGTTCATTCCAGGTGTAGAGAACTGGCTGCTTTCTATTTGGTGCTTTATCAACTTATGTTTGAAGTTGACTTGTTAACATGTTAAAAGAATTTATCTTTTGGACCTAAGACAATTCATGAGGGGTTGTGTGTGTACGTGTGTGTATGTATGCTATTTTTTTTTTAATTTTGGTAAAATATATATAACATAAAATTTGCCATTTTTACCCATTGTAAATATACAGTTCAGTGGCATTAGATTCACAGTGTTGTACAGCAGTTACCACGATCTCCAAAACTTTTCGTCACTCCTAACAGAAATTCTGTACCCGTTTAGAAATAACCCCCCATTCCACCCACTCCCTGGGAACTTCACATACATCTTTTGTCTCTGAATTTGCCTATTCTAGATACTTTATATAAGTGGAATCATATCATATTTGTCCTTTTGTGTCTGGCCTGTTTCACTTAGCATAATGTTTTCAAGGTTCATCCATGTTGTAGCATGTATTAGAACTCCATTTTTTTTTTTATGGCTGAATAGTATTCTGTGATATGAATATACAGACAGCATTTTGTTTATCCATTCATCTGCTGATGGAAACTGGATTGTTTCCACTTTTTAGTTACTATGAAGAATGCTGCTGTGAACAGTGATGTACAGCATCTGTTTGAGTCCTTGTTTCAATTCTTTGGGTTTAAATACCTAGGAGTAGAGTCGTTGGGTCATTTAGTAATTCTGTGTTTAACTTTTTTTTAAATAAGTTTCAAGTATACAGTACATTGGTTAGACATTTATATAGTTTATAAAACGATCTCCCTAATTGCTCTTTCTCTCCTTTGGCTCTCTGCCTAGCCAGGACATTAATGCTAAGTGCATTCCGCTAAACTGTTTTCCATAGCGACTGCAGTATTTTACATTCACAGTGGTAATGTATAAGCGTTGCAGTTTCTCTTCATCATCGCTAGAACTTGTTTTCCTTTATTATTATATTTATTCTAACAGGTGTGAAGCGTTATCTCGTTGTGGTTTTGATTTTTATTTCCCTAATGACTAAGGATGTTGAACATCTTTTCATGTGCTTATTGGCTATTTCTATATCTGCTTTGGAGAAATGTCTATTCAAGTTCTTTGCCCATTTTAAAATTGGGTTGTAATATCTTTTTGTTGTTGAGTTGTAAGTTTTTTTTATATATGTTCTATATAATAGTCCCTTTCGAGGTATATGATATGTAATTTCTTCCAGTCTGTGGGTTGTCTTTCACTTTCTTGATGATATCATTTTGATATCCTAAAGTTTTAATTTTAATGAAGTCCAGTGTATCTATTTTTTTCTTTTGTTGCTTCAGCTCTTGTTGGCACATTTAAGGAACTATTCTCAAATCTCCAAGGTCATGAATATCTTCCTATTTTAAAATTTTAATACTTTTACTGATTACATTGCGGGCCTTGATCCATTTTGAGGTAATTTTTATATATGATATAAAGTGAGGGTCCAACTTCATTTTGCATGTGAATATCTAGTTTTCACAGCAGTGTGTGTTGAAAACACCGCCCTTTCCCACAGGTCTTGGCACCCTCGTTGAAAATCAATTGACCATAGATATGAGGGTTTATTTTGGGGCTCTTGATTCTATTTTGTTGGTCTACATCTCTGTCCTTCTGCCGTGTACCATGTTTTGATTACTCGTAGTGTGTAAGTTTTGAAATCAAGAAGTGTGAGTCCTCTAACTTTGATCTTTCATGAGTTGTTTTGGCTATTCAGGTCTGTTGAAATTCCATATAAGTATTACACTGAATCTGTAGGTTGCATTGGATAGTATTGTGATCTTAACAAACCATGAACACAGGATATCTAATTTCTTTCAGCAATGTTTTATAGTTTTCAGTGTTCAGTGCCTCCTTAATTAAATTCATTCCTTAAGTTTTTTGTTCCTTTTGATGATATTGTAGATGGAATTATTTTCTTAATTTTTTTCAAAATTTTCCTTCCTAGTGTGTAGAAATAAAAGTGATTTTTCCGTGTTGATTTTGCATCCTGTAATTTTGCTGAATTTATTAACTCTAACAGTTTTTTTCTGTGGACTCTTTAGGGTTTTCTACATATAAGACATATCATATAGTTTTATTTTTTTCTTTTCCAATTTGATTTATTTATTATTTTGCCTAATTGCTCTGGCTAGGACTTTCAATGCTGTGTTGAAAAGAAGTAGCAACAGAGGGTATCCTTATTTTGTTCCTGATGTTAAGGGGAAAGCTTTCAGTCTTTCACCATTGAGTATGATATTAGTTGTGACTAAAAGAATAAATGGTAATTTTCCCCCTCTCCTCACCTTCCCCATCTCAGTACAGAACATTGATAGAACTTAAGACTTAAAAGATCAAGGGCACTTTTAAACCCATTCCCTTCCCTCCAATTATATTTGTTTCCTTAAATATCTCTTTAAAGCAGATTATTTATGCATAGCTTGTTTTGCTATACCATATTTAAAACTAGATGACAAGACTCATTTTCTAACTTGGACTCTTTTGGAAAAGTGAAACTTGGATTATCCCAAGTAAGTGGAAGTAAACCAACCTACTTTCTTCCTCACACAGTTTATCACAAAGCATTTATTGAACAAAAATAACATAACAATAAAAATGATACATATATATGAAAGTGAATGAGGATTTGCAGTCAGAAAAGATGTGTACAAAGAGACCAATGTTTAGGTTATAGTTCTATAAAACTTTAGCCATAGCAGTTTAACACTGATCAAGCAGACATATAAAAAGGAAGAAAAAAGTTAATATGTCCTTTGAAACTATGTTCTGACTAAAATAGTTCTTAAAAAAACAAACACCACACATGTAGAATGAGGCAGAGCTATAACAGTTATATTTCAATACCTCCAGTTCTCTGCTTGTGTTACAGTGGATTTTTTGGTCCATCAAAAATTATGGTATTTTTCCATTTCTAGTAAATGGAGCTGCTGGAGTATATGTTAATCATAATATTTGGAGGAATGGACTACAAAAATCAGGTATATAGTCACTTGAACATTTCCAATCAATCAGCATTAAACTTTTAAAATATTTTGGGTTAAGATTCTTGTACATTAGCTTCCTGTTTAGTTACTCTTTAACAATCATTCCTGTACTTGCAATAGTTCTTCTCTTAGCCAACAATTTTTTAAAATGCTCTATCCATCTTTTCTACCAAACACAAATTTTAGACCAGTAATTAAGCATGGGGAAGCAGAACTGGACTGAGCACCACTGTCCTACCTTCAGTGAGCTGCGTGGCCTCAGGCAGCTCCCAGCTTCTCCTTTGCAGTTGTCCTTATCTGGAAACAGCAGTAGGACACATTCTCAGAAGCCAGGCCCCTTCTAACTCTCAAGTGTTACGTTTGGTAAATACCAGCTCGACCTGCTATTTTAGTACAGAATTATCCTTAGCCCAAGAGGGAGTGACAGTAGTGTCTGCTTGTGAATTTTGGAATCAGCCCCATTACTTTATATTCAGAGATGCATACTAAAGTGTTTGGATTTTTTCTCCAGATAAAGGCATATATCCCCACACATAGAGATGCTCAGTTCCAATCAGAAATCTCAAAATTTCTAAGTATAACAAAATTTTAGATTTTTTAGAAATCCAAGAATGTTTATGTTTTCACAAGCTTTTTTTTTTACCCCTTCTCATAATTCCTGCTATTTAATGCATGATTTAGATAATTATTCAGCCACATTTTAAATTGGTTTGTTACTTATAATTAAAGATGATCATTAACCTGACCTTGAATTAGGAGCGCTGGGCATTTTCCAGTTCTGCTACATTAGAACTTTCCTACCTAATGTACAGAACAATACCTTAGAGTGATGCCGGCTGATTTTTGAAGGAACCGAAAATGTTTCTATTATCACTGCTCTAAAATACACTACACAAAAGAATTTACTGCTGAGTGTTCCAGATTGTTATGTGATCAGTGCCACAATGATGAGATTACTGAGGGGTTTTATATTTGTCGTATCAGAATTCCTTCATTCTCACCATAAACTTAGTAATAACATCTCGATTTCCACAAGCAAGGCTATACCTGTACACATGAAGATGCCTGGTGTTACAAACTTGTTTGTATTTATCACCAGTCTGTGAACCTCTTCCAAAGCATAGGACTTTTTAAATGTTATAGTTCCAGCAGTTTAGAACATCTTAACTCGTCATGATACATGAAATGTATCAAAGGAGTATAATTCTCTTTAGAAAATGGGGAGAACCCAGAGCTATTTCTTTGAAATAAGTATATGCTAACCTAGGAAATATTCCAGGGGTATGGATACAGTAAACTTGACGTAGCTTTTCCATCAGGTTTGTTGTTTGGGAGGAATCTAAAAGATTGTAAACAGCTAAGAGGGCTAGCCTTTCAAAGTTCACTTTTTTAAAAATGCACTTTAGAACATTTTCTTTTATGAATGTTTATTGTCTAAATATGGCTTAGTTTCTTCTTATAAAAACATTACTTGGACATTACATTTATTGAATTTCAGTTCAAAAGAGATCCTAAGGCAATTATAATTGAAAGCAAAAAAAATGAATATGAATATGCTTTCATATTGCCTATTTGTTAAAAATAATGAAATTCTACGAAAGCTGTTTGATACTAATTTTTGTCTTTCAAACATCTCAATACTAAAAAATATATAAATCATTTACATTAAACTAAATGCAAAGGAAGGCACAGCTGGTTATAGTGTATATAAGCACAGTTCAGCATACGTAGAATTAAAGAGAAAAAAAGCTTCACATCCTTATTAGTTACACTGAAAACCATTAAGAAAAGTTCTTCACTGTCAACAGTGTTCAACACTTAAGAGCTAAAAGGATATAAAAACAAAAACAATAAAATTCACTTAATGCAAAACAGATTTTCATATATACTTGAATATAAAAAAAGTTTTAAAAATGCTAACATAAATCTAGACCATCCATGTTATGAAAAGTGCAAACCAAATTAACAGAGGGTTTCACAAAGTCCTTCTCATGACACAGGTAAACTAGCCCATGGGTACTAGCCCATATTTGTTTCATCAGTTAATTGAGTCTTTAATTGTGGCCAGATGTCATCAGGACTTCTGAGAGTTTGAAGAAAGCAGTACTGGAGAAGCAGCTCTGTCCAGACTGGGGATGGGCACTGGCATGTGGCCATTAAGCAGTGTTGGAAACTGTAGGGCGACAAAATATTTTTAAAATAATTATTGCAAATGCATTGTGAAGAACTTAAGTTCTTTACATTCTTAGACCATAGTGAATCAGTTCTGTCTTCACCCCTGTGATATTTGTAAGTTGTAAATTATTTTACAGAATGAGTAATTGAAAGATGACATTGAAATCAAGATTACATACAGCAGAGGATACAACCCAGAAAATGTCCCTAATGATTTTTTATGCATAGGCTACGAGGAAAAAAATGTATTTTACATGTTACTAAAATATACTATTTTTAAAAGTTTCCAAGCTATTTAGAATGCTGATTTGCTTTGAATATTAAAAGAAATTAATTTTGAAAACCACAGGCAGCTGACCCTTTACAGTAATTTCTAATACTGTATTTTGAAATTGGCCATCAAAATGAGATGTTTTTATCTTAAAAGATTTAAAAAGCAAGAATATCTTTGGGGGCTGAGAAAGTATTCCCTCTAAGTAAAATGATAATATCAAACTTAATAGAGAGATCACTCATACATGACAAAACTTAAAGAATAAAGTTAAGAGATGGGAAAAAATGGTGTAAATGATAGAGGTTTTGTCTATCCTTCTTGCGACCAAATCAAAGTTGTGACAGACACAGAGCAAACAGCAAGGAAAGTCACCTGGGATCTAGATGAACAGAAGCACTACAGCTAGGGAGAGAAATAATCAACCTGCAACAGTAGAAGGTAAGAGGGGGCGAAGATACAAGGCTGACCAGTCCCAAGCAGTGGCTAAGTGGGACAGAAGCTGTGGCAGTAGCAGCCAGTAACTGCAGACGCCTCTTAAAGGGGCTGTGTCCGCGAGCGTACTTTCACAGTGATGGACTTGCTTGCTCTGGGCACCAGCGCTGGTTCAGCTGCACAGGGGGCACCAGGGACTTACAGGGGGACACTGAGTTGTCAGAGTGAGGGCCAGAGGCGAGGCTTTCTACCAGGTAGAAGTGCTGGTGGTATCCACTGTTCCTCTGTTGAGCCCTGACCCCTCCCAGAGTGTGGACACAATGCCACCATATCTGAGACATCATTAAACTGGATAACAGAGGTTGCTTGGCCCAAAGGATTTTCTGAAACCCCGCCTCCCCCAACTCATGGCCCCACCCAAGCCACATGCAGGTGTATCCGCGAGTCCAGTGCTCATTGCTGAGCAATGCCAAGACACACTGGTGGCAGCTGGCCTCGGTTTCTGGTGTGGTTTCTTGAGGTAATTATAAGCACAGCATCTGTGGATTACTTGCTGAATCTTATGAGGTGGCTCTGGAGGGGCACAGGCTGGAGCTAAACTTGGCCTGCAGCTGAACCCCTCCCAGGACTGTGCCACTGGACACCTACTACACAAAGCTGCATTAATAAGACTGGGAGACTTACGAACTTTGCTTAGTACATAGAAATAGTCACAGAAAGGCAGCCAAAATGGGAAGACAAGCAGAAACCATATGAGAGAAAAGAACAGAGATCCAGGAATAATGGAGTCAAGCAATCTAACAGATGCACAGTTCAAAACACTGGTTATAAAGATACTCAATGAACTTGGGTGAAGTGTAGTTGAATTCAGTGAGAACTTTAACAAAGAGATAAAAAACAAAAATGGAATTGTAAGTTATAAAAGGGAACCAGTCAGAAATGAAGAACATATTATCTGAGATGAAAAACATACTAAATGGGATAAACAGAGTGAATAAGAAGAAGATCAAATGACCTATATAGAGGATGGGAAAGCCAAGAACACTCAGTCAGAATGGCTAGAAAAAAGCCAAGATTGTAATAATAATTTAAGGAGCCTATAGGACGTTATTAAATGTAAAAATATCCGTGTCACAGGGTTACCAGAAAGAAAACAAGACGTCGAAGAGCTATTTGAAGAAGTAATGATGGAAAACGTCCCTAACCTGATTATGGAAGTAGACATAAAACCCCAGGAAGCTCAGAGAGTCCCAAGAAAGAGGAACCCAAGGAGGCCCACACCAAGACAGATCATAATTAAAATGCCGAAGGTTAAATACAAAGAGAATCTTAAAAGCAGCAAGAGAAAAGCAGTTAGTTACCTACAAGGGAGCACCCATAAGACTGGCAGCTGATTTCTCAAACTATGCAGGACAGAAGGGCTTGCCACAAAATATTTGATGTGATGAAAACCTATGATCTACAACCAAGAATATTTTATCCAGCAAAGCTATCATTTAGAGTTGAAGGACAGATAAAGACAAAAACTAAAGGAATTTATCAGCGCCAAGCCAGTGTTACAGGAAATGTTGGAGGGACTTCTTTAAGAACAAAAATCATGAATCAAAAACATGAATAAAGAATGGTATTAACTGCATTCCTATCAACAAGTACCTCAAATAGAAAAGAATTAAGTGCTCCAACCAAAAGATAGAGTGGCCGAATGGATAAGAAAACCAGACCCCTACATATGCTGCCTACAAGATATTCACCTCAGATTAAAAGACACAAACTAAAAGGGAGGGGATGAAAAAAGATACTGCCGTGATGGACCTAGAGGTTTTTGTGGTGAATGAAATAAGATAGACAGATACCACATGATTTCACATACATGTGGAATCTAAAGAACAAAATAAACAAAAACAAAAACTCATAGATACAGAATATTTTGAGGGCTACTAGTTGGGAGGAGCGTTGGGGGGACAGTGAAAAGGGGCAAAGGGATTAAGAGGTACAAATGGATAGTTGCAGAATAGTCACAGAGATGTAGAGTGTAGCATGGGAAAGATGGTTAATAATATAATAGATATTTAAGGGGGAAGAGAGGTACTAGATTTAGTGGGTTGATCGCTTTGCGAGTTATGTGGATCTCTGATCACTGTGCTGTACAACTGAAACGTATATTATTGTATGCCAACTATAATTGAAAAAAAAAACTCATTGAACTGTACAATGTAAATATGAGCAACTAATTATTATATTTCAATAAAGCCAGAAAAAAAAGTAGAGAAGTATCACTGTCATGATATGTGTTTTAGCATGTTCATAAAATATGAATTTTGAAAATCGAAAAAAAGAATAAAGTTAATTTCTGTATTCTTGGTAATTAAGATGATAAATAAGATAAAGGTATATGCTGTGATAACTTTCAGGTCTAAAAGAAATATGGCAGCTATTCTCCCAAATGAACAAGAATAATTAAAGGCATCCTTTTAATACATGATTTTCACAACTAGATTTTCATTGTTTGAGATATGTGTCAGAATGATCTCCTAGGCTGTCTTCTAGTTTAATTCCTATTTGGTCTAGATGAGGTAAATATTAAACTTCAACACTAAATATCAAACTACAAAGCTTGGTACATGTTAGAAGTACAATAAATATTTGTAGAAGTAAATATATTTTCGTAATTTTCAAGCTAGTTCAGTAACTGTTGCATGTCTAGGCCTTACAATTTATCAGTGGTTGTCATTTCCTTTGATATCTAGAGCCTATAAGGTAAGTTTGGTTATCCTCATTTTATAGAAGAGAAAACAGAATTCAAATAAGTTCTAATTGGCTAAAGGTCATAGCTAATAAGCAGTAAAGCCAGCTTTTAACCCCTGTGAAAGATAACTGTGCTTTCTATACCAAACCACCCAACTTATTTTTGGCAGGAGTTGGTTGCAGGGTGAGGTGCTCTTTAATTACTATTTGTTTCTTTAATGGTTATTGGCATATTCTAGGTTTTTGTTTCTTTTCTGACACTTCGGAATTTTATAGAATTTTTTTATAGAATTTTATGCATTTCGACTGAGTTATAAAACCTATTTGCGTGTAGTTTTATACTCTTATTTAAGAGCCATGCTCTTAACCACTATTCCCATTAAGTTGGAATGAAGACTGGACCCTACAAAGGCCCTATGTTAGATTCTAGGGTTAGAGTAGCAGTGCAGTCCCCACTGCATTGGGGCTTGACTGTGCATATGTACATATCACACAGCTCCTTTCTGCTCTGCTCGGGCTGGAAGACTAGAATACTGCTGCTCTAGTCTGGAGACTTTCAGGAAATAAGGTCTTTTAGCTCTCCTTCAAAAGACTGCTGATCTAAAACTTTCCTAATACTACATTTGCTCACTGTTTTTGTTTCCCTGCCTGAGTTAAAGTGCTAAGAATCAACATGTTGGCTGCACATGACCGTAGCTCAATTTCTTGTGATGGGAAGAAAGGCCGGGAAGAGAAACCTGATGACTCCAGGGATATAGTGACATCATGACAGCCTATCTCCACCCTACTAGGAAACCAGAGAAGCAAGATAGCAATCAAAACCTCCTTAGCTCCGCCTTTCTTAAAACAAGACCCTAAATCCAACCATGTATATAGCTCCTTGGACAGAGGAGATAAATATTCAATTAACTTCGATAAGCAAACTGACCAACTCAAAAAAGCACGATCTTTTTAACGCTTACTTTCTAAGACATCTCTCGACAAATTCTTAGGCATTGATTCAGTCAGTCAATAATAATTATTGAGCATCATCTATGTACTAGGCAATGTGCTAGATGCTGGTGGCACACCACAGTGATCAAGGTGCAGTTCCAGCCTCTTGAGGGCCCACAGTGTAGTGGGGGAAATTGCCAAATGGAACAAGCCATCGTAATACAAAGTGGTAAGGGCTAGACGCAACAGGAGCAAAAGAACTACAGCTAGCGTGGAGAGAGCCACAGAGCGGTCAGGTATGGGATGGAGGGTGGAGGAGACAGATGAGGCTAGAATTAGGTAAGAAGGGAGTTTGCACTTTATCCAGCTTTGCTTCATTCCTGTCCCTAGGATCCTTTCTATTCTACACTCACATATTCAAACAGATAGCAATCTTTGGGTCTCAAAGAGGAAATAGTGATTTCCACATGATAGCAAGTAATGCTACTACTTCGAGATTCTAGTGTGTGAATGAATAATGAATGTGCTCACCTAGGACAGGGAGCTTACTAACCAAGAGCCCTGGATACTCCTTTTTTATTATGGAACAAGAAGAAGAACTTGATTATGATTCATGAAATTATGCAGATACCTTTCCTGTTACAGTATGGCAAAACTCTTCACTATTTTCAATTTTCAGTGTTATCACTATGTTGAGTAATATTTAATATTTTAGTCTTTAATGATATTTTATAAAGTACAATTTTTTAAGTTTTGCCTTTTCCATAGTAAATTTCCAGTTTTTATAGTCAATGAAAATTCCAAAACATTTCAAGAACAAATTGTTCCATTTATGATAATCTAGCATGACTACTCCATTTCTGCTTCAGTGAAAATTTTGTCTGCCTTTGAAGGCTGCCTTTTGCCTACAACCCCATTAACATAAACACCCTTTAGAAACTTAACATTTTAACTGAATGTGGGGCAGAACTCACTATTACCTTTGCAGGATTTTGGGGGAACACATCCCTTAGAAGTTCAGTGTTTAAAAGTTTCTTTCCAAATGCTCACCTGGAACAGCGTGTTTGGCCCTTGCAGCCTGGCAGGACTCAGTGGAGCTACTGGACTGAGGCTGCTCCAGAAATGTATGCTGGACAGCAGTGGACTCGGGGTCAGAAGCAGTCCATTTGGTGTCTGGGAAAAAAAGCACATAGACAGTTCTTGACATAGATGTCGCCTGACTCCAGGAGTGATTAGCAGTGTGGCTAGGTGCATCGGCCATGAACCAAGAAAGAAGCCTCACCATCTTAGGAAAACCTGACGACTCTTGTTATTTCTGCAAGAAATTATATTAGCAATTTTAAAAAGGAGAGAGGTATAGACCAATTGCCTTCCGTGAACATTCTAGTGGAAAGCTCCAGTTTGTGGCCATTTTTGCCCAGATGGTTTCTCCAGTTTGCTCCCTGCTCCCCTTTAAACGAGACTTAGTGTACAACAAAACAGGACCCCGTGAAGGGGCTTTATTATTATTATTTTCCCTATATTTTCTTATTTTTCTTTAGTGAACATCTACTACTTGGGTTACGAACACATATTTAAAAGGGCCTCCCAAGCTTCACTTTCCCTATCAATGGCCCTTTAGGATTTGCTACTAAAATAACTCTGTAGCAGCTTCTTCAAAAGCTCTGAACTGGGTTTTCCAGATTTCACTCCGGATGTGGGGCTGATGCGAATTCATCTCCCTGGCAATGGTTTGAAAGAAAAAAAAAATCCTTTCTTGTCAGTTTGGGTGTAAAGCCAAAATGCTGGGTTTCCCAGGAGAGTGCCAAGGAGTGCATTTGCTTGCACACACTCAGCAGGAGTTTTGGCCTGTAAGCCAGCTAGAGGGCAGGAGAAACAACCCTCCCCAGCTGGTAAGCTTGCATGGCTTTTATCCTTGGTGGAGGCAAACTCTCTGGCCCAGGGTGGTTCTGCACCTTTGGTGACTAGAAGGAACCCCTCAGTGGTTTGGTGATGTCAGTAGGTAGGTGCGTTGTTTAAGAAGAACCACAGCAGAGGCACCAGCATTTCAGATTGCATCATGCTGGATGCTACGGTGTTATTTTTTTCCTAGAATTGGCCTAAGCAGCTTTGTTAATTATCGAGAGCATTTGGCTTAAACCGAAGCTGAAAGGTCTGCTCTGCTTAGTGGAATGGAGACAAATACCCCAAGGTTCTCAAGCTCTGAAGCTGCTGAAAGGTAAACGAATTTATACCAAATTATTTGAGTCTTTGGTTCCACAGCACTTCCTACATATTGAATGAATGAGGTTAGTAGGATAAACAACATGTTTTGGATTAATTTTTAACTTTCCATTTGTTCTAATCCAAGGTAATTTCACCGGTGTGCCAGGCCATCTGGCTTAATGGTCAGGACTTACCGGTGCAGCACAGGCTCTACCAGGGATCCAGCCTCGGAACCACTACTTAGCTAGGTATCTGCTCCATGGCTCAGTTTCCTGCTCATTAAAGTGAGGAGAAAAAATACCTACATACAGGATTGTTGGGAAGATTAAATAAGATGACCTATGTAAAGCTCTTAATATGTGCCTGGCACATAGCACATGCTCAACAAGTGTTAAAGACTGTTATAAATTAATTAAAGGTCTACCTGACACACTTAATGTACTTCACCTATTCATGGGAGAAACTCTCAACTGTACAGCAGCAGTCCCCAACCCATGGGCTACAGACCGGTACTGGCCCACAGACTCTTAGGAACTGGGACACGCACAGCAGAAAGTGAGTGGTGGGTGGGTGAGCCAGTGAAACTTCGTCTGTATTTGCAGCCGTTCCCCAGTGCTGGCATCACCACCCTCAGCTCCACCTCAGATCATCAGGCGTTAGACTCTCAGAGGAGCGCCAGTCCCTGGTGCCAGAAAGGCTGGGGACCACTCGATAGAAAAGTGCTTGACGTTCTGTAACAGCCAAGCCAGTTTCATCAGCTGGTACTTCAAGGCTTTTCTCCATCCTGTTAGGCTCAAGTCCACAGGCTCAGGTGACCTGAGAACTAATATTTGCATATTACTCTGGAGCCGGGTTCCAACCACAGTACGCCACATTAACATTTAATAACCAACGTGTTCAGAGCCTCCTCATATATACCCACCAACAAAGGTCTCAAAGCTATAGAGACAATGAGTCTTCTAAACTACAAAACATAGCTTGTCTTTCTCTCATCCACGGCCATAAATGTATACGCATTCTTTTTTAATCCTTTGAACAGTATACAAGGTATAGCATTTATATTTTCATAGTCTAAAATTTACACCCATGTCTGGATTTGAGGTGTTTGCACATATGTTTTTCTGAAGGATACAAGGTATATTCAGAATACAGTAGCTTTCTGTTTTTCTCATGCTTAATGTTTGAAATATCATCTATAATATATGCAAATAAATATTATGAAATGACTTAATTCACTCCTCTCCCTCCCATCCCTGATCTCCCTAAAGATCCTGTGGCCTTAAAGAAAAAACTATTTGGTTGCTCTTTTAAGGAAAGTTCCTATAAAGCCTGCCCTGGCTTATCTCAAGTACAGTGTGAGCTCTCAGAGCCTTTCTCCACAAGCTCCCGAAGTCAGGCAGGGAGGGCTGAGCCTGACGACTTGGAGCATAAGGAGCCACAAACAAAATGCATGCTTCCTCTTTCTTGGGCTCTTCTGAATGGCAGAGTTCCTGATCCCATCAGCTGCTCGGGGAGGAGATGCCCGAAGGCTCAAGGGGAAAAAACTACCAGGCTCTCATTTTCATCCTCTCTGCTCAGCTCTCCCACTTAATGGTGAATCTCTTAGAAAACTCAAACATCTGAGCTAAACCTGGTGAGCTGGTGTCAAGACAAGCCACACCTGAGTGTCTTCTGTTCGTAGTCCTCCACCCAGATCGTGCCTTCCGACCTCCTTCTCCTCCTCCCTACCCCTTGCCTCCCTCTGCCCATCAAAATACCACCGCTTCAGAGGCTTTCCTGCTCTCCCCTCAATCAGATGACATTCTCTTTTTTTCTGAATCCTTATAACGCTTTTTAATCACCTTTTTTATTAGCATGTTCTGCCTCGTATTATGGTAATTAGCGTATTTTTATTATCCTACTAATACCGCCTTTCAGATATCCTGCTCATCTTTATTCCTCCTGTAGGACACAGCTACCAAATACTTGATGAGCTCAAGCGATCGATCGTAACTCTAGACGTATGCCCTTGCCTCTCACCTGTTGGACATCTCCACGTGGAATGCCCCACCTGTTCAAACTTGAATTTACCACCTTCTTTCTAAATCCAGTGTTTCTTATAACGCCTCCATTTCTGTCAGTAGTACTACCATTTATCTATCCACTCAACAAATACTGAGTACACAGTATGTATCAAGTGTCAGAGAAAGGAGACAATCTAGCATCCCAGTCACCGTGATGCAAAATGCCTTCCCCTCACCATAGCCTCTAGGCAAGGTCTGTGGATACTTCCTTGAACTGACTTTTATTTATCCCTTCATTTCTCTTCCTGATGCATCCAAGCCCCATCATCTGACAGATGGCATTTGGCAATAGCCACCTAAAGCAGTCCACCTGCCTCTGGCTTCTCTCCCAATCTATTCTGAGCTCCACCACCAAATCAGTCACTTGCAGACATTACATTTACTAGAAGTTCTTTCAGAAAGGGAGGGAAAAAAAAAGTACAACCTCCTTAGCCGCAATTCTAGGTTCCCCTATAACCTGATATCAGATGCTCCCTAAATTCCCTATGTCAGGGGTTCCCAACCCCCTGGGCCGTGGCCTGTTAGGAACTGGGCTGCACAGCCATGCTCCCTAAATTCCCTATATCAGGGGTTCCCAACCCCCGGGCTGTGGCCTGTTAGGAACTGGGCTGCACAGCTGGAGGGGCAAGCAGAGCCTCATCTGTACGTGCAGCCACTCCCCAGCGCTAACATCACCACCTCAGATCATCAGGCATTAGATTCTCATAGGAGCACTGGCCCCTGGTACCAGTTTTTAGGGTCCTCTGTAATTTCACACCACCCTAAATTATATATTGCCCCTTATTCTTTACCTACTGGACAGTTAGTTAGGTGTAGCGCATGAGAGCAGGAACTGTGTGTGTCGATCTTGCGTATGTCTGTATCCCCAGGTGCCTAGCAAATGGGAGGTGTTCTATAATTATTTCCCAAATGAGTTAACAAATAGTAGCCATTCTTTAGTTAACTGACTAGAAAGGATACACATGAGCTTCATAACAAGAAGTATTTGTAGATTACTTGATTTGGGGATCTGAGATGCTGATAGGTCATTAGGGCTTCTGGAAATGAAGGAGAGAAAATCAGGAGGTCCATTTAACAGTTTGTTGTACCAACAAACATGTCTAACTCTCTCATAGATGCCAAGAGAATTCATGGTAATGCCACTTTGGGGTGAAAAAAAAATCCACAAATGTGTCAGTGAATCCCTGGAAACTCCTAGAACTGTCTGAATTCAAATAAACGTGGTTTGGAGGACTTTAAAAAGAGAAGTGGAATCATCCAGTAGTTGGTGTAGCACTGAGGGCGCTGATCTTAAGGAAAGGGGGACAAAATGGAGAATTCCACAAGGGTCTAGGGTAGGTACAGTAAGTGGGAGGAGAAAAAAGGGCAGAAGTGGGGTGGATGGCGACAGGATAGGCCCCCTGGGCAGGGCGAGGGGTGGGGGGCACTACTATGGTTTGTTCACCCCAGGCGGCCTGAGCTGGAGGAAGCAGGAAACTTCAGTGGGAGTGGCAGGTCACTCACGACCTGTCTTCCAGTGACATCTTCCACAGCAAAGCGCTCCTAAGAGGACAACTGCTTCCCCACAGGCTGAGCAGGGGAAGTGTCAGAGTGGGATGAAGGAAAAACAAACTTTTTTCCTTCTGTGATAATGGCAAAAGGGACCATGAGATGAGAGACCACCCCAGAGGTGGGACAGGACACAGTGAGCCCTGACTGCTTCTCAGCACACGCATCCGTTTCACTCTAAATTCCCACCTTACGATTTCGGCTCAAAGTTGTTACATCCACCAGTAAATAGTAAATGCAGAAAGGAGGTTTTAGCATCTGTCCTCAGCAAGCTGTCTCTGCTCAATTAGTGCTAATCGAAGGCTGCTGCTAATAATAAAGCAGCCGGGGGCATGCATGCTCAGACTCTGATGGCGAGTTCATGCCCTGGGGCATGCACGTATCTGAGCTGAGCATCTTAAACATCACACGTAAGATTAACAGAGGCCTTGGCTTAAGTGAAGGGAAATACAATGTGCCAGCCTCCGATTCTGAACCACTTCTACATCGTCAGATGAGAGAGAGAATCAATGGAAGAGGCAAATGGAAGGAAGAGACACAGATGATACAAGGTGCAGAAGATGCAGAGGATCAGAAGTTCCAGCTGGCACCATTCAGGCTTCCATGGTGCCTGGCTAGGAACCAGGAGAGTTTCACATCCTGGCTCCTGCCCCGTCTCAATTTCTGTAGCTCATGCCATCAGAGATAACATCCTTGCTTTTTTAGCTACAGTCCAATATGACCTTGGCAGCCGAGCTCCAACTGTATATCACTCCTTGATACCCAGCTGGCTTTTGTATTCCCATTTTTCAGTTCCTCATAGTGCCTGCTGTCTCCATGAGGAATCTTGGTTTATTAAAAACCCATAAACGAGTCATCTCAACTGCATTCTGTACAGGTGCAGCAAATGCATAGTGGTGGGAGTGGAGGTTATGGTGCTGGGCGAGTGGCTGATGATCTTTCATGCACATCATGTTAGAGATGAAATCTGAAATCTGGATTTGGGTTTATGTGAGGTGTGTGGTTTAATAAGGTCCCCAAAGGGCGCTGTAACCACAAGACCCTGATCACGCCAAGACTCTTAATCCTATCCTTGTTCGTGCCATGTTTCTAGATGAAAATAACTGAGAATTATTCTTAGAATAAATAAGTGAAACATAAATAAACAAATAGTTCTTGGAATAGATTAAAATTCTTGGGAATTTCATTTTCAGGGCATCAAGGTATTACAGCACAGCTTTCCTCTCTTCTAAGGCCAACCGTTAAGAAAGGTTTATAGGAGGTTCCCATAGGTAACCAAACGTTTATGTGCAAACAGTGTTGCGCTGCACACAGCACACACCACAGAAGAAAAAAGAGTTCCTGTGACACAAAGTGCTAAGTAGTATGAAACCCATGAGCTGCAGGAGTGGGACGGCAGGGTTTCCTATGGGAGAGAAGCCCCAAGCCCCCTTCAGAGAGAGAGGAAACCCCCAGAACTGACCCAGGAGCAAAGGGAAGTCTCACTTCTGTCCCCTAGGGACGATTTCAGGAAAATGAGCTCATCCCTCAGGCTGAGGCCAGTGGCCTTCTGTAATATGGCAGACTCCTCAGACAGCTGACTCTGTTTCTAACTGTCCACTGGAGGGAGACACATGAGTGAGCGAGTGAGTTTTGGGGGCACACAAAGCAGTTCCTGGGCGGGGCAGAATCTCTGAGAAACCAAATCCTATTTTGACTCCAGGCCTACCCTGAATCCTAAAAGACTCGAGGCCTGTCAAGTCAAGGTAAAACCTCAGGACAGTCCTGTCTGATCTTCAGAGAAACCATCTGGGTGAACACCCCCGAGTGCCTGAGGCCTGCCATTTCTCTGGTTTCTCATAGCTTCTCTCCCTGCCAGTCAGCCACCCTTGGCCCCCCACAGACGTGCCAGGTGCAGAGCCGACACTGCTAGCAGGTGAGGGAGTCACAAATCCTGAGATTCTGCCATCTCCCAAGGGCAGACCTTGACTCCTTTGAACCTGTTCAGAGCACTACCTAGTGTGCTTTCGTCATACGCATCATCCAAGGGCCCTCCTCTCAGTCCAGCCACGCCATCCTCAGGCCCACTGAGCGGAGCCACCCTAAAATCACTGTGTCCAGGTCCTAAACCACAGGGCCAGCCTGAGCCCATTTCCTCCAGTACGAAACAGGGATGGAAGTGTCCCACTCCATTCGGAGATGGTGATACAGGCTCACAGAGAAAGCAGATACTGAAATCAGAGTTGTAAACACAGAGTTGTAATCCTCAGGCTGTCCACCCCGGCCCCAACCTCTCACATTACTTCTCTGAGCTGCTTCAGGAGCTACTGTTTCTGAGTATTTACTCAGCAGTCCTCAGCCACGGGACAGTTTTGCTTGGTTAGAAATGCTCGACGTAAGAGCACACATGCTCACTCTGACCAGTAACGGAGCCCTCAGCTCTCCCCTCCTTGGCGGCCTCCTCATTACCACGAGCTCACAAGCTTCAGCTGACACGAAATCCCTGGGCCACCAGCTTGGGAGAAGCCATGGAGAGGAAAACGGCCAAGAATTGCTTTCAACTGCTTTGCAGACGCCAGGGACTAGTCTGACCAGAGACGACTGGGTGTTTTCTCAGCGGGAATGAATGCCAAGAACATTTTACTTAAGAACGTGGATTCCGGAGCGGACTTAACTGAGTTCAGATTTGCTTCTACCACCTCTCAGCGCCGTGACCTCTGATGAATTACTTTACTGTGCCTCGTCCACCTCAGCTGGAAAAATGGGACCATAATAGTATGTACTTTGTGGAGCTGAAAAATAACAGGCAATACTGCATGTAAAGAGCTTAGAATAGTGCCTGGCATACATGAAAAGCTCAAAATATGCTGCTGCTGCTAACGATGCTGACAGCAAGGACATCTGTGGCGATGAGTAAGTACAGAGGCAGGAAATGGCAAGAGTTCCTACTACCCACCTCGAGCATGATCCCCTACCTGCTGCCACAAGGCTCCACAATAATAACACCTGCCAGCTGTAGCTAGCTCTCTTCCCATGGCCATCCTCCCATTGATTCCTCACAATAATCCATTTCACAGATGCGGATACGGGCTCAGAGAGCAAGTGCCCAGTCACCATTCTACCAAGCAGCGTAGCCAGGAACTAAATCCAAGTCTGTGACCCCAAAGCCAAAGAGCTTAACCCTGCCACCAAAATGCATCCAGTTTTCCAGCGGAAGCAGAAGAAGGGCGTATTGGGCACATGCTTTGCCTCTGCCCTGCAATTGCCAGCTGGACAAGAAAGAGCATCTGAATATTATATTTTGAGGAAAAGGTGCCTTCTCATTGGAGTTAATTATACCAAAGAGACTTTCTTATTCCACAAGTTTGCTTTCCTCTCCCTCCTGACATGAAGCTAGGTATTCTCACAGTAGCACTGCTTGTACTGAAGAATCTTTCTCACTGTTTGGCATGGCCCTTATTATCCTTATTATTATTAGGCACTACGGGACAATACAGCTCCACACTGACAATCGCAATGGCTTTGTCGGTTAACATCAATTTTCTTGTTAACGAAAAAACAAATGACTACTTATCAAGTTCCCCACCAGAGATGACTCTGCCATAACAATTTCCTAAAGCCCACATGGCTTCTGAAATGTCACTTGGCCCACTCAACTTTCCCTAGGAAATCACTGGATCTTCTTTGAGGACCAGTGTGCCTGTTCTAGCTTACGATCACTTTAGCCCACTGAAAAGCAAGAAACCAACCAAGCATCCCACTGTCGCCAATATCCTACCTTTTCTCTCATGGACACCGTGGTCTGGGGCGGGGGAAGTAACTTCCCGTCACATTCACACAGTGACTTTAGTACACGGGACCTAGGATTATCTCTCGCCAGGCAGAAGGAAGGTGCTCTGGCTGCTTTTTCCTCCTTTCTGCTAACCCCCTGAGAATGGGTGTGGCTCTTACCTGTGCGGTGAAGAAGGCTGGGGTGAGGGATCCTGAGGGAAGGGCTGGGCTGTTGAGGGCAATGGAGCCAATGTCGGTGCCGGAGAGCACCAGCGGGGGCGCGGAGATTTCCAAGCCTTTGGGCTTTTTGGCCTTGGGGGGAAGAGATGGAGACCTGGTCTTGGAGCCCGATGACAGGTTCAAGGGCTCCAGGGAATCCGAGTCATGGCAGGCGGCCTCCAGGAAGAGGCTTCTGTGTTCAGAAGGGAGGGGCGAATTAGGGGACAGGGACGGGGACCGAGATGAGGAGGGCGATGCGGACGAAATGCTGGCGGCATTGGGCAGCATTAAAGAGGAGATCTTGGCTGAAACAGATGAGGCCAGGAAGGCCTCCGACGTGGAGGGCAGGGACACCACAGGCCTGCTGATGTGCTTGTCGCTTTTGTTGGTCACAAACCTGATGACAGTCCTGACTTCTTCCACGGGAGGGCTGTCTTCTGGCGGATCCTCCAGCTTCTCCGTCTTGATGGCCTTGAAGGATTCCGGTGGGTTCTGCAGGGAATTGATGGTGAAGGACGAGTACAGGCCCGAGTGGATGTATTCGTTGCGGCTCGTGCTCTTGAGGGCCGACAAGCTGTGCCTGTGGGCCTCGCGGCCCTCGGGAGGCGCCTTGCAGTCGCTGTCCTGCAGCAAAAGGCTCTCGCGGCTGATCTCCACCGCGTGAGGGTCCATTTTCAGTATCTCCGGGAAGGAGACAAACTTGTACACAAACTTCTGCCCAATCACCTTCTTGATGATGTTCTGTGAATAATACAGAAGGAGACAGAGAAAAGGTCAGTGCACCAGAGAAACCGAGGAAGAGCTCCAGGAGGATGGGGAATTGTGCCGCCAGAAGCACCACACTATTCCTGATTTACACATTTTGGCTAAGGTACAGTAGAAAGAGGACTAAAGTTGGAGGCGGAATTAGATTTGCATTCCAATTCTGCCAATTACTAATGGTGTGATCTTCGGTAAGCTGTCATTTTTAGGTTCCTCATCTGTGAGGTGAGGATTATTATACCTAATAATGGAATAACAGTTGCCATTATTAAGCACTTAATAGGTAGCTGGCATTGTTCATGTATTATCTCATATATTCTGTAAGCAATCTTAAGAGGAAGGTATTATTAAACTTCCATTTTAAAACTTAGGAGAGTAAGCTTTGTGCGCTTAAATAACCCACATAGCCACACGGTAGGTAAGTGGTAAAGACAGCACTTCCTTAACCATAATACAGTATTGTCCAACTTCTCTCTGGGACTTGTGAGGATTCAGTGAAATAACAATGGGAACGCATTCTGTAAGCTGGGAAGCATTATGGAAACGTAAGTTGTTATCACCAAACACCACAATGTTTTCTTAAATCATGTACCCATTGTCTCCTTTTTTTTTTAATTTTCTGCCAAGAAGGCCACTGGAGAAAAAGCAAAATGTCTACGTGGACATTTGTGGCACACACCCAGTATTTTAGGTTGCTAGCGTCGACTTCTGACTCTTCAGGTTATGGCTCCAGTCCTCAGACATGAGGATGTAAATGGAAACCAGCCGTCACTGCAAAAGTGTTCATGCCCCTTTGGGAGAATGGACTTCGTATTCAAGGCTGTGCTGTTCTGGAGGTGTTTTAAACCGGAACATTAGCAAATATCTATCAAACGCATGAGGGGTCCCAGGTGCTCGAGGGAGTCCAAGACGGTCTCCCTCAAGCATGGGGAGCCCGCAGCACCATCCTGTGGGAAAAAAACTCCCTGTTCCTCACAAACTGTTCCTCCTAACACGTGAGTATGGCTGAGGGTTTAAAAACGTTTTGGGGGAGAAGAGCTTTAGAAGGATGCCCTACTGAGCGCCTACTCGGTACCCGGTATTGGACACATGCTCTCGTTTGACCTCACACTGACCCTCTTGCCGGGTAGAAGGTACATCATCCTTCTGACAGAGGTGGGGAGTAATTTGCCCAAGAACCAAGATCTATTCATTCTAAAGCCTAAGCTGCTTCACATTTCCACACAGATTTGGAGGGAGAGAATCAAAGAACCCCTGAGTAGAGATGAAATTTTTTAAGCTTGAGATATAATTGGCATGTAACATTCCGTAAGCTGGGAAGCATTACAGAAATGTTACAACATAATGGTTTGTTTCAAGTGTACAAGTGTACAACATAATGATTTGATATTTGCATATACTGCAAAATGACCATCACAATAAGCCTAGTTAACATCCACCACCGCACAGTTATAAATTTTTTTATCCTTGTGATAAGAACTTTTAAGATTTACTCTGTTAGCAATTTTCAAAGGTAAAATAGAGATGGTATTTAATTAAATCTCGATGTTCCTTTTGTGGTTGTAGTTTGGTGTGCATGTTTTTGCCTTCCCCCTTGTTACATTTCGGCATGCTAACTTGTCTTTGTCCTTAAATGGATTGGCAAATCCCAGAAGAGAATTTATCTAGCAGTCAGGTGGGAAGAGCATATTTACCAAGCCGCTGAGATTTGGGGGGAGCGATTTGCTCAGGGCAGGCATCTAAGGGAGGGACATACGAGGTCCCCCATTCAGCAGCGGCAATCCCAATAATGCAAATCCTGGCAAAACTTCACTCAGCACTGCTCACCAAGGCTCACTTACCCGCCTCTTAGATTCAAAGCTGAACAATTCGTTCCAGTGGGATCCTGGCACTCAGGCTTGCAATTTAACCCATCATCCCGCCTACTCTGTCTGACCTCATTTTACACTCAACACTAGCGAAACTGAAAACCACTTACAAACCTTCAGAGAAAGTTGGGAAAACAAGTTCCCCCCGGGCCTGACTGGCCTGGGTAGACAACATGCCTGGGAGAAATCATGTAACCCTCCCTCCAAAGGGTTACATGAGGGTGTCACTGGTGCCATCTGATCCAGAGTTGGTTCTGCGTAAAAAGAAAGCATCCTTGCCTGGTGTGTTCCTCTGCTAAAATTCTAAGGTATTTTCGTTCTTCTCTCATAATATTTTTCTCTCTGGGGGAAAACTGTTTTATCCTCAGCCAGTTGAACACGCATATAAACTGAGTGATTTAGGAGAGCCTAAATGATTACCCAGAAGAGAAAAGAAACGGTATGGTCTGAATCATTTCTTCTGGTAGGCCTTGTAAACTTTTTTTCCAAAAAAAGAACCAACCTTTAATTTTATTAATGGTATTCAGAACATAATGTCTGAGCAGGGATTACATTCATAAGCAAACCAAGAAGTAATTCAGGGCTGTGATAAAAATGATAAAAATGCCTCTCCTCAAAAAAAGGTTGGGAATAGAAAGCAATCTTGGGGAGAGAGCTGGGACTTGATGTATCAAGAAGAATATAAAGAACAACCCCCATGACTGTCAGCTGACAAATGGATAAACAAAACGTAGTATAGTCACACAACAGAATATTATCTAGCCATAAAAAGGAATGAAGTTCCGACACATGCTGCGTGAATATACCTTGAATGTAGTATGTCAAATGAAAGAAGTCAGGCACAAAAGGCCACATTTTTTATGATTAATTCCATTTATATAAAATATCCAGAACAGACAAATCTGCAGAGACAAAAAGTAGATTAGTCATTTCCTGGGATTTGGGGGTGGAATGGAGGAATTGGGGGATGCTACCTAAAACATAGAAATTTTTTAAGGGAGTAGTGAAAATGTTTAATATTGTGTTGATGGATGCATAACTAAATATACTCAAAGCCACTGAATTGTATACCTTAAATACCTGGGTGAACTAGATGGTATGTGAGTTATACTTCAGTAAAACCGTTAAAAAAAAGAACATGAGGAATCTTTTACCCCAGCTCTATTGAGATATAAACTGACATATGACATTGTGTAAGTTTAAGGCATACAATGTGGTAATTTGATACATGTATATATTGAGAAATGCTTACCACAATAAGGTTAGTTAATATATCCTTCACCTCACATAATTACCATTTTGATGTTGTGGTGACCACATTTAAGATCTCCTGTCTTAGTAACTTTCAAGTATATAATACAGTATTGTTAACTGCAGTCACCAGGCTGCACATTAAGTCTCAGAACTTATTCGTCTGATGGCTGGAAGTTTGTGTCCTTTGAGCACATCTCCCCATTTCCCGCCCCCCTAGCCCATGGAAACCATGGATCAACTCCGTTTCTATGTGTTCAGTTTTTTAGATTCCACATGTGATACCATATAGTATTTGTCTTTTTCTGACTTATTTCACTTAGCATAATGCCCTCAGGAACATGAGGAATCTTAAGAATTGTACATGTTTAAAGGGAAGATGGTGGGAACCTTCTGTGGCTGCCTGGTGACTGCCATAACATGCTAAACCCTACTCTGAGTATACAAAAAGGACATGCCTCAAAGGGCACTGAACTCAGCCATCGCAAGAAGGGCCCGTCCATAGTTGCTGCTTCCGTGAGGTGAGCCACTAGGACATCAAGAGAGCTTTTTAGAGAAAAGTTGCACAGTGACGGGGATGGGGACAGTTTATGGAGCTGACCCAAAGGAGGAAGAAACAGCCTTTGGAAAGAACCAGAACAGGTTTTGCTTCTCTAGAAGCCAATGAGAAAGATACATTAGATCTGGCTACCTGGACAATTTGAAACCCCTCCAAGGACAGAAGGCTGGGAAGGGAAATGAGTGGGAAAAGGGAAGGAAGGAAGGTCAGAGAGATGCAGCCCAGCTCCAACACAGGTAATTGAAAGCCCAACTCTGTACCCGACATCTGTTCATGGGAGGGGACCAGGTAAGGAAAGCCCCCACCAGGATGCCCACAGCTGGAGACCTAGATAGGTATGTGGACTCAGAGGAGGTGAGTGCCTCCAGGGTCAGCTGAAGTGGCAGCCCCTTCTTCCTTCACTTCCAGGGTAGACCCCGGCAGAGTATCTGTGGCATGTGCGTTTGACACTCTCTTTGTGGTCTCTGAAGCGAGGTTTCGTTTCAAGAGTTTGCCCCATGAGGGGCTTGCTGGAAAACTCACAGTACAGGGTAATAATGATAGGTAGTATTTGCTGAGCACGTATACTGTCAGGCTGTGTACTAAAAACGTGACCACCCTGACTCATTTAATCCTCTGAGAGATTGGAACTATTATTATCCCCATTTCAGAGATGGGCAAACCGAGGTTCATAGAGTATAAATTACCCGGTCACATGCTAGTATTTGGGCAGTCTGACCCCAGAGCATTTGGCCATAATGGAAGGTGAAACAAGACTCGGGCTGAGATAGCCCAGGACACAGGAGCACTTGGGGATGGGCTCTTATTATGAAAAGTGATGAGGATACTTAGAAAAAGTCTGTTTTTTTTCACCCTTTCCTCCCAGACCCACAAGTATTTGTTGTTTACAGTTGCCTGGTAACCTGACAACTGCTGTCTGTGTTTGGCTGAGCTAAGTGACTCTCTCCAGTGTGGTTTTAGAGCAACAGTTGCGCACATCTGCTTCCCTTCACACACACACAGGACCAGCCTCTTTGGTCACAATTTCCCATTAAATCTGTATTCACAACTGGTGTGGACTACTGGCCCGGGATTCCGTGTGAGCTTAACAGGCAGCAAGGACAGGGCCTACTGCGGCGAGCAACGTCCACCTACACACCCCCAACTGGCAGTTCAGGGCAAAGGTGGAAGCTTGGGTCCCAAAACTCTTCCCAAGTCGGTGTTTTGAGGATGCAGAAGCCTAAAGGTGACGCAATTCATTTGGGGCAGGACTACGACCAACTTGTGCAAAGGAACCCTTCCCGACTCACCAGCTACCTGTG